CCGCAGCCCGCCAGATCCCGCAGCCCGCCAGATCCCGCAGCCCGCAGCCCACCAGGCTCCGGCTGCTCTCTGCCCCGGGAACTTTCTTCGGAAATCCTCACACTGACCACCCCCTCTTATCGTTTTAACTGTAACTGTATGTATCCCCAGACCGTTACAGAGCAAGTGATTACCACTTACAACTGAAAGTGTAACTGCATGCCCTAACCGGTTTGGCTCAGTGGTAGAGCGTCGGCCTGCGGACTGAAGGGCACCCAGGTTCGATTCTGGTCAAGGGCATGGACCTTGGTTGCAGGCACATTCCCAATAGGGGGTGTGCAGGAGGCAGCTGATCAACGTTTCTCTCTCATCGATGTTTCTAACTCTCTATCCCTCTCTCCCTTCCTCTTTGTAAAAAATCAATAACATATATATACATGTGTGTGTGTGTGTGTGTGTGTGTGTGTAACTGTCCCTAAAAGAATAAAACAAAGGAGTGGTTTTTGATTCTGTAAAGGCCGGGAAGGGGGTGGTTCTGTGCAGCTCCCAGCTCCCACCATGGCCAGCTAGGCTGCCGCCCGGCTCCTGGTCCCCAGGTCAGCTGAAAACGAGGCACTCGCCAAAACCGGTGTGGCTCAGTGGATAGAGCGTCGGCCTGCGGACTGAAAGATCCCAGGTTCGATTCCGGTCAAGGGCATGTACCTTGGTTTCGGGCACATCCCCGGTGGGAGGTGTGCAGGAGGCAGAATGGTCAATGTTTCTCTCTCATCGTCGTTTCTAGCTCCCTATCCCTCTCCCTTCCTCTCTGTGGAAAATCAATAAAATATATTAAAAAAAAAAAAGAAAGAAAGAAAGAAAGAAAGAAAACAAGGCACTCAACTGCACCCTAACCCAGAGCCACTGTACCCCAGGCCAGACACGGCCACCCAGCGCAGCGAAAGCAGCTTGCCAATGCCCACGGGGCTGTGGGTGTGGCACGGCCGGGACACCTGGCTCCCTCACCCCAGGGCCCGCCTGCCCCCACAGCCCCGTCTCCCGGGCGGGAGCCCTCCGTCCACACAACCGAGAACCGGCCTCCGGCGAAAACGGCCTTGTCTGGGGTCAGTTTGGGCTCCGGGTTGCTGGGGAGAGCGGGAGAAACAGATGGAAACACAGATTCTTCCCTCGTCACGAGGGAGCACGGCGGGAGCACCATCCCGAGGCGGGAGGACCGCGGGGAGGCGCGTGGGAAACCGGTGTCGGGACCCGCCGTGCTGGCCGGAGGCCGCGGCCTGGGGAAGGGCAGGGGCGGGAGCCCCGCGGTGGGAACACAAGGTCAGGGTCAGCTGGTGTGACGGGAGCCGAGAGCAAGGGGCAGGGGCCCAGCCACGGCAGGAGGACCACGGGGGCACCGCCGAGGGCACCGGCCTGGGCCTGACCCTCGGGCGCCCTTCCCGGCGGCTGTGGTGCTGAGAGCCGTGCGGGGCCCTGACCCAGCACCTGCGGACGTGGCCTCGGCGAACAGAGGAGCCCTCCCCATCCTCACTCACCCTGACACCCCTGAGGAGCGATGCCACGGACGGGGACGGCAGGAAGGGACGGGGCGAAAGGAGGATGGGAAGCCCAGCCTCAGGACGGAGCGAGCTGGACGGCGCAGTGGGCGGCGACGGAGCCGGCCACGCTGGCGTCCCAGGTCCCTCGCTACCCGCAGCCCATCGGCACTCCGACCCCCTCACGCTGCCCACCCACCCCCAAACCGGCCGTGGGACGCGTTTACATCCGCGTAAGGTTTTAGAAGTTACTTCAAATCACACGCCCGCTTCAACCCTTCGGAAGTCACGGCGGCGTTTATCTTTCGAGAGTGACGAGGATGGTGAGGGGCGCGGGTACGGGGGCTTGCTGGGTGCGGGTCCTGCCAGTGTCTCGATCTGGGTGCAGGTAACACGGGTGTGCCCACTGGGTGAGCGTCTACAGTGGGTGTCCATGACACACCCAGAGGAAGTTAAGAGACACATGTCCTCCTGATGTTGAGGGGAAGGTTGCCAGATCTACTAAAAAAAATGCACCAGGCTCCCATTTCTAAAGGGCTGGGTGTGTAGCTGAGACCGGTGTGGCTCAGTGGATAGAGCGTCAGCCTGCGGACTGAAAGGTCCCAGGTTCGATTCCGGTCAGGGGCACGTACCTTGGTTGCGGGCACATCCCCGGCAGGGGACATGCAGGAGGCAGCTGATGGATGGTTCTCTCTCATCGATGTTTCTAATTCTCCGGGGGGGGGGGGGGCGGGGGCTGCTTACGTGACCGGGGCACATCCCCATGGCGCCGACGGAGCCCACGCCACACGTGCCAACACGGGACCACTGCCAGCGCACGCTGCTCAGGGGCAAAGGCAGGAAGCAGGCGACAGCACGCCACGACTGCCACGACATACACATTTCCATTCCACTCGAGACACCCCACCAGAAAGGGGGGGGGAGAAGACGAAGAAGGCACTGAATGTGTCTTTACGCCTTTTGAACGTTCTGCACGTGAGTACTGCAAACGACCCCCTCCACGGGAACTATCCAGAACTCTCTGTAGAGCGGCGTAATGGCTCGGGGCTCTGGGGGAGAGGGGCAGAGGGGAGTCAGCAGCTTTTCGGGGGGCAGGGCTTCCTTTGGGGTGATGAAATGTTTGGGAGCTAGGGAAGGGTGGCGGTTGCACACCATGAATGTACTAAATGCCACCGACATGTTCACTTTAAAATGATTTTGTTATGTAACGTTCACCGCGGTTTTGAAAAAGCCATAAAAATGAGTGAATGAGTGGGGTTGTCACTGGGGGGGCAGCTTGGTGGCTGAGGGGGGGGGGGGTCTCCATCCCACCACCCCCGGCACCACCCAGGAGGAGGCCTCGGGAACGTGATGGAGCCTCAGCGAGCTCCGGTCTCCTCCTCAGCGAGGCTCTGTGGTTGCTGTGACGAGTAAATTAAAGAGTCCACGTCAAGTGTCTGGCCCAGCCCAGGCCCCAGGGCCTCCGCTCCCGCCGTGGGCCCACCCAGCACGCCCTCTCCCCGGGCAGACGTGCGGTCCCCTCCCTCGGTCCCCTCCCTCGCCGCCCTCACGTCTCTGCTCAGACGCCTCCATCTGGACGGGACCTTCTCGGAGCCCGCCCTGCCCTGCGGCTCCTCTCCCTCCTCTCCCGGAACCGGCTTTTTTATTTTGATCACGTCCCCTCGGGGAGACAGTTTCTGTCTGTCCCCGTCTCTCTGGGCCCCGGGGACACGCTCAGTAAGGACACGTCAAATGAACCAATGGCGCTCACTAATGTGCCCGCTCTGACCTCGGGTGCCGTCCTGCCTCCCTGGAAAAAGAAAACTGTTGTCTTGTTGTCTAAGCAGCTGGAAACAGGAGGATCCAGCGAAAGTCTAAATTTAAAAACCCACCATGGCTCCAGCTCAGCACTAGTCCCCAGAGGGAGCCGTCTGCGGGGAAGAGACGGTTCTCAGGGAAAGGAAGCCGAGTGCTCCAACACACAGACCGCCAAAGGCCCCCGCGCGGTGTGACCTGGTCCCCGCAGGGCTCTCAGGAGCCAGAGCACAGTGCCAGCCGGCCGGCGCGGCTCAGCCAGCGGCTGCGCATCGACCTGTGAACCAGGAGGTCAGCGCACATGCCCAGGCGGGCTTGATCTCCAGGGTGGGGTGTGCAGGAGGCAGCCGACCCATGGTTCTCTCTCACCATTGATGTTTCTCTCTCCCTCTCTCTCTCTGTCTCTCTCCCTTTCCCTCCCTCTCTGAAATCATGAAAATTATTTTTTAAAAAAAAGGGAACATAGTGTCACCATGGGAGCCTGGGACCCAATCCCACCTTGGGACAGATGGTCCATTCACAGGGAACAGGGAGGTTGGGAGCAGCCAGCCTCCCCCCGCCCCCCGCCCCCCCGGCTTCCCCTGCCCCTGCTGTCCACTCAACAGACTGTCTCCCCAGTGGGACTCGGCTTCCCAGGACTCTCAGGCCTCAGAGGGAGAAACTGTGACCCCCAAGAATCCAGAGTTCAAAAGTGGAAAACAAAAACACAAAAACAACCCTCCAACTCTCCTAAAAATAGGCTCTTTCAGCTCGGTCCCCTCTGAGCCGCCGTGGCCCCGGGTCCGGGCGGAGGGCGAGCGGGCGCCAGCGTGCGGGCTCCCACAGAGCGCACAGCCTCACCGGCAGGTCTGAGCAACGCCGGAAAGGAGCGCCCTCCACCCCGCTGTCAGCAGTCCGCGGGCGGGCGGGCGGGCGGGCGGGCCCGGGTGGGCGCGGGGCGCTGAGTCAGGAGGCAGCCCGTCCGCGGGCCTCAAATGTCCTCGAATGCCAGGCTCCCTGCGCCGCCGGCTTGTGAACAAACATGCGGGTGGCGGGTCTCGCTCCAGCTTCTGAGGGAGCAGGTCTGGGGTGACGCCCTGTGATTTACATCTCTCACCCCTCCTCCGGGGAAGGGAGGGCTGGAGGGAGGACCACTGCCCTAGAACAAACACTTCCATGTCCGTGGGACACCTGCCTCAACGTCGCACAGCGCCTGCAGACAGGCAGACAGACAGAGAGACACGCACGCGCACACGGCCTAACAGAGCCCCTGCCCAACCCCTGATCCTCAAACAGCCCGGCCTGCCTGGCCCAGCCACCTCCTGAGGTACCGCTCAGGGGTGCGGGAACAAGTCTGAGTGAGCCCGTCAGGGGGAGGCACACCCGAACCCCTGAAACCCGAAGTCACGGCATTTCCCTTTTCTGAAAGCAGGCACCGGCGGGCCCACCCCGCCCGGCTTCGCCCTTCACACATGGGTAACTCCCAGCTGCAAGATCCGCTTTCTGCCAGGGGGATGCTTTCAAGTTTCTGAATCAGAAGAAGTAGCTGAAAGAGGAAGAAAAGGGGAAACAAAACAGAGAGAGAGAGAGAGAGAGAGAGAGAGAGAGAGAGAGAGAGAGAGAGGAGAGAGAGGCCACTCAAGAAGAGCCACAGGATCACAGCATCCCTGGTGGCGACCCATCAGCCACCGCGGGCCGCTCCGCCGGCCTGGCACTCACCGAAGTAATCGGCCTTCGGGTGAGCATCCATCTCCCGCTCCAGGCGCTGGGTGAGGGCTTCCAACTTCAGTTCGGCCGTCGAGGGCCCGAGCTCGGGCCCCGGGGCCAGGGTCTGGCAGGGCAGCCTCACGCTGCGGGCGCTGGGGTTCTCGGGGAGCACGGGCCCCAGGCCACCCTCAGAAGGCCAGCCAGGGGGACCTTCTTTGCAAGATGACTCCAGTGGGGCGGACATCGCCGGATGGCCGCGGCCGACGGGGCCGAGCTTGGGACCGGCGCCAGGGTCTGCGCAGCCAGGCTGGGGACCCAGCCCCGGGGCGGCGTCCAGCTGCAGACGGTCCATGCTGGCGGGCAGAGAGGAGGGCCCGGAACTAGACAGGTAGGATGTGGGCCCATCCTGGAACCAGGACTGAGGCTGCGCATTCGGTCGGGGCATGGTGCCCGAAACCTCACTCCGTGCCCCCGAGTTTGTTTTCGGAAGCGCTCCCTGACTGGGGCAGCTCCCCGAAAAGGGGGTTCGGGGCTGAGCGGGGCCCAGGAGGGCCCCGTTCTCCAGGCCTGGGGAGGGAAGGCCAGGACGTGCCCACTGGGAGGAGGCAGGGGTCCAAGCACCCGCTGGCTTCTCACTGCCTCGGCCATGACGGCCGCCATCCAGGCCGCTCTCAAACGCCCGGCGGGAGCTGGGGGAGAGCTGCGGCTGGTACAGGTAAGGGTCCCTGGAGGGCGTGGGTGGGGACGGGTCACCGCCCGGGGCGCCCGGCCACCCCGTCCCTCCACCCAGCCTGATGCCGGGGGGCACTCCGGGTTCTTCACCCCACTTGGGGCTGGCCACGGAGAGGTTGTCGTAGTAGTCTCCATGGGTGAGGCAGGAAGGGTCCTCGCAGTGGCCGGCAGACACCTCGGAACCAGAACCGGCCAGGCCCTCCTTGGAAGCACAGTCCTGGCTGCCAGGCCTCGCGGGGGCGTACGGCCTGGCCTTCTGCTCCTGGGCCGGGTATGAGGGCTGCCCAGCGGCGACGGCGGTGGCTGTCCCAGGAGCTCCCGTCGAGGCCGCCAGAGGGGGCTTGGCAGCACCGTCCATGGTCAGCCGACTGCCCGCACCGGCTTCCCGAGGGGCCTGCAGGCCCGGGCGGCCCCCGCCGCTGACAGGCCCTCGGCCAGCCCGGGGCAGGGTGTCCTCCTGCGGGAGCTGCTGCTGCTGCTGCTGCTGCTGCTGGAGGTGGATCTTGGCCATCTTGGTGGCAAACACCCGGCGGGTCTCCTCAAACTCCGGATTGTTGCCCGCACCCTTGTCCACTCGGAAGAGCCCGTCCTTGGAGGCCTCGTACATGTTCAGGTCCTCGATGAACTTGCTGGCCTCCAGGCCCAAGTCCTGGTACTTGTCCATGTTGGTGGCGGGTGTGAAGGCCTAGGCAGGGCGCCGGGTAGTGTGTGTGTGTGTGTGTGTGTGTGTGTGTATGTGTGTGTTTGGGGTGGAGGGCGGGGTGGGGGAGCAAGAACAGGGAGCTCAAGTCCAGCCCAGAACAAGGAAAACCCTCCACCTGCCCAAAGTGAGAGTCATGGCCCCAGCCAGGCCTCAGAGTCCAGCCCACGTCGAGGCCTCGCCAAGGCCAAGAGACACCAAGTTCTCCTGCAACTTCTTCTCCCCTCGGAAGTGTCCACGTGGGATCCGACGGCGGCGCTTCCCTGTCCCGACTTACTCTGCAGTTTTCTCTTTCTCAAATCATAAAAGTTAAAAGAAAAAAATAACACAAACCAAAGTCACATCCTCTTGAACCAAACTCGGAAACGCACCGCACGGCAGCAGCCGCGGCGGGTCCGGGGCGCAGCGGGCCGGCGGCGCGGGGAGGCCGGAGGCGCAGGTAGGTCCCGGGCTCGGCGCCCGCGGCTCCCCGGCGGCGGGGCTGGTCCGGGCCGCCGAGCAGGAGGCCCCGGCGGCCGGCGGCGGCGGCAGCTCCCGGGCCCCGGGCGGGCGGCCTATTGTCCGATCGGCGGCGGCGCAGGCGGCGGGCGGCGCGCGGGCCGAGGGCGGCGGGACGCGGAAGTGAGCGCCGGACGCCGGGGCCTCGCTCGGTCGCCGCCAGCCCGGCACGTCCCGGCGGCAGGGGGCGGGCGCGGGGCGGGCGCGGGGCGGCGCGGGGGGCGGGCGCGGGGCGGGGGCGGGGCCGGCGGCGGAGGGCGGACGGGCGCCCGGGGCAGGTCTGCGCCGCGGAGCCCCGAAGTGTGTTGGGCACTTGCGTCCGCGCTCCCCCAGCGCCCCGATGGCGCGGGCTTTTCCTGCTCCTCGGCCGCCCCCTGCGGGTCTGCACCGCTCCGTCCCCGCCCCGAACCCCCACCTCCCGCAGCGCGGGGCCGGCCTCCGCGCCCGGGCAGCCCGCGTGGCCCCCAGGCGGCCGCTGACCGTGTGCCGGAGCCTCGGGGCGCCGCGCGCTCCTCACCCCGCCGTGCCTCAGTTTCCCCGGCAGGAAGCCCACTCTGTGTGCGCCCCCCTGGGCGCTCCCCCTGACCGGGCGGTGTCCGCCGCCCAATCTGTCCGGGCGCAGGGGTAGAGGCCCGCGGTGGCACCCGTGGGCTGGCCCGGCGTCCCCTCGGACGGGTGGGGAGACGGAGGCGCAGAGGGGGACGTGTCCCAGAAGCCGTCGTAGCCAGCAGAGCCTGATGGAGCCAAGCTCTCTGCAAAGGAAAAAGTCATGCTCCTGGAGCTCGGAGTTTGAAGTGCTCCGAGCAGCAATAGAAACGCGGGCCCGCCCCGGTGGCTCTTTATTCCTCTGTGTATCCCTGACCCCCAAGCAGACTCACTGCGGGGAGCCGGGAGGGCTGGCTCCTGAGCGCCCCCGCACCCCACCCTCCCGGGTGAGAGGTTTCATCTCTGCACAGCAGCTCAGAGGGGTCCCAAGGCAAACGCCAGGCCGGTCACTTCCCTGCGCACACCCTTGTCAGCTAAGGCCATCCACACCCGGGGAGAGTGTGGATAGAAATTGACTTGAGTCAGATAGAGGCTGCGCCCGGAGGAGGAAGGGTTTTAACGGACTGAGAGACATGCTCCCAAAAAAACGACAGTTTGCAGCTTCTCTTGTGCATTTGGAATTGGGGAGGAAACCTGAGGAAGGTGGCCTGAAGGGGGGAGGAAGCAGCGTGGGGATGGGTTCCAGGACAGTTAAGATCCTGTGCTGTCTTGCCAGGCTGGTTGGCTCAGTGGTCCAGTGTCCACCTATGAGCCCAGAGGCCGGGTTGCGGACTTGTTCTCCAGTGGGGGGCATGCAGGAGGCGCCGGGCAACCAAGGCTTCTCTCTCATCATTGATGTTTCTATCTCTCTCCCTTCTTCTCTGAAATCAATAAAAACATTTAAAAAACAAAAACAAATATCACGTGTTCTCTTGAGGTTGACCTCGCTCTAGGAGGGGTCTGAAAAGGGGGACATTTCAAAGGTGCCCAGAGACAAGGGTCGGGGCTAGCTTAAGGCAAAGAGAAGCCTTTTACCAAAGAGGTTATATGTCCAGTGCATGACTGCCCGCTGTGACCTGCCTCGCAGAGAATTTATGATCAGATCACCCTTGGAGATTGCTTTCCACAGAATCCTTTTTTGTCCACACCCTCCGTGCTGACCCTGGACCTAGACTGAGACGGACACCGGGCACCGCCTTTCTGCTCGGTTCCCGGGAACCGGCGTGGGGGCCTTTGCACCCGCGCTCTGGCTGAGGGAGCTTCCTGGTGGGCAGGGCCTCACCTTGAACTTCTCAGTAGCTCACCCCTCCCCATCTCAGCACAGTCACCTCTTCCTGGAGGTTGTTTCATTTGTACAATGCAGTCTGAGAAGCACAGCTGCAAAGAAGGATACTAGAATAAGATATTTTTATTTTAAACTCTTTTAATTTTTTTTTTATCTACAAAAGTAGTACATGTGAATGATAACAACTTCGAACAATAGCGATACATAGACTCTGTAAAAAGTTGCCCGCGATCCCCTTACGCAGAGGTGATCGTTATTAAACATTATTACAGCCTTAGGGACTCAGGAATACTTGTTAATGGCCAACACAGTGACTCATAAACTGAGTAATTTGCTTACGACATTTCTGGAGCAGCGGTTCCCAAAGTGGGTCCCGGGACCAGCAGCGTCAGTGCCGCCCGGAAATGGTCCAGGTCCGCGGCTCCCAAATGCGTTAGAACTCCTCGGGGAGCCCCTGAGCACTGGGACCCACCCCCAGAGCTTCCCGCTCAGCAGCTCTAGGTGGGGCCCAGGAGTGTGTCTCTCTAACAGGTTGCCCGGTGATGCCAATGCTGCTGGCTCAGGAGCCACACTTGGGAACCCCCGGTGTAGAGTCCATGCTTCCTCAGAGCACGGCCCCTGGGTGCTCACAGGCCTGAGCACATCTCTCCGAGTGGAAGGCTGAGACCCACCTCGCCTGAACCCCGAGTTTTGGGGGGTGTGGCTGACAAAGCACGGGGGACACAAAGTCTACAACAAGCCCAGGGCCAGCTCCCCGTGCGCCCAGTGCTGACGGCTGGTAAGCCTGGGCAGCAGCCACACTCTCCGGCCAGGGCCTCCTGCAAACCAGCCTCCTCTTTTCATCCTCGTTGGGCAGCTGCCAACTCTCTGGTCCCCACCTGCCTCCGGCCCCATCGCGGCCTGCCCGGAGTGCGGGAGGAAGGATCTGGGCAGGAAGGGAGTAGGTACGCACATAGGCGTTGGAATCTTGGAGCGATCGGCAGCTCTTTGTATCGCTGGGGGAATAGGGAGGCAGCAGTGAGAGCGAAGCCGGGAGAGCAGCTGGTGGGGACAGGTCATCTGGGGAGTAAGAGCCCACAGCCTAGAAAGCATGTGTGATGGAAGCTTGAAGGCTCCCCCTCGCCCCCACCCTCCGCCAAGATTCCGGGCATCCATGTCCGTGAGACCAGCCAGCACGGTGGCATGGTTTTCTGCAGATGTGGGTGTGTGGTGGGTGGCGAGTTGGGTCTAACCAGGGCTGGCTTTTGCCAAGCGAATGCAATGTAACTGGAGCGAGCAAGGGAGTTGCCACTTCTCCTGCCTACAACCTTGATACCACCGTGGGACTCCCGGGGTTATCCCCCTCCGATTGCCACTCAGGGGTCCCCTCTCCGGAAAGGCCCCTCTCCTCCGTCCCTGCCCTCATCTGATGCCACGGCGAACATCTGTCTCCGCACTACAGTGCACACCGCTGGCCGCGGATCGCCGACCGCACTGTTCGCTGCTGTCCCCCAGGAGCCTGGAGCAGCGCCGGGCACATGGCAGCCCCCTCCACACGCTTGGCAAGTGAATGAATGAGTCACAGCAGAAAAGGGAGTACAAGTGTGACCATCTGTAAGTGGAAAGAATGAACTGGACTGCAGGATGACTCAGATTCCGAGGAACAAAGAAAGGACACAAAGCTACATCTGTATCACCGCTCTAGTCATAGCTTTGTCTGTCACTGCAGATCGTATTAGCTTATACGGAATATCTGATCTACGTCACAGATCTGATCTCCTATACCGCCAGTCAAGAGTATGACTACAGCCGAAACCGGTTTGGCTCAGTGGATAGAGCTTCGGCCTGTGGACTGAAAGGTCCCGGGTTCGATTCGGGTCAAGGGCATGTACCTTGGTTGCGGGCACATCCCCAGTGGGGGGTGTGCAGGAGGCAGCTGGTCGATGCTTCTCTCTCATCGATGTTTCTAACTCTCTATCCCTCTCCCTTCCTCTCTGTAAAAAATTAATAAAATATATATTTTTAAAGAGTATGACTACATATAAATATGTACCCATGTATATTTGAATGTGTAAAGGACATCTGAAGGATGGCTATTTGCACGCAGACATGGTATGTTTCTCATATAGGTGCGCATAGAGAATTGTTGACTGAAGGGTATTTGAAAAACCCTAATGCAATAGACCGTAGGCAGTGAGCTGTGCTCAGACAGCCTGTGAGGTACCAGGAGCCCACGAGGCAGAGGCCCGGAGTGTGGACAGAGCCCTGCTTATGCTGCAGTTAACTGAAAGGGCCCTTCTGTCCCTTTTGCTGGCTGTGGGAAATGTCCCTGCACACAATGCTGCGTGTGTCCTGAGGCCGGAGAGCCAGTTCGGGGAGAGCTCTGAAAAGGACCTTTATCCTCAGCTGAGCAGATGGATGGAGAATTAAGAACCCAGGTTCCTCTGGGCTCTTTCCACCCCACGGATGCCAGGAGCCCTGGGCTGCTCTGCCCCAAGGTCCACTGTGAATTGCCCCGTGCGTGGTGGCAAGCAGCTTCGATGAAGAGCCTTCCCTGATGCTCATAGCGGGGCTTTGTGTCCTGGCTGCTCTGGGAAGCTGCCCAGGCCAGACCCAGACACCAGGACCGTGACCTTGCCCTGCGTGTGCCGCCTGTGCCAGGCAGCTGGGCCTCCGCCTCCCCAGCCTCCGCCCTGCCGTGGCCTTTGCCACACAGGAAGACCCAGGTGGGGGCATGTGCCTAGCCACAGGCCCCACACGCCCACAGGGGGGGGAGGGGGGTTGCCCGCGGGCCCCGCCCAGCCCCTCCGGGGACACGGGGGCTGGAGTACTGATTTCTGAATCAGCTGCTGTCTGCTTACTCTTTTTTTCTAAATAAGCGAGTCATGTATATATATGGCTTCAAACTCAGAGGTGCAAACAAGCACAGGGAGAAAGGAATGTGTCTCTCCACTCTGAGCCCCAGGCAACCAGTCAGAGACAACACCATTGTATTACCAAAGTGCACAGGCATGTGAATTCTGTGTGTGTGTGTGTTTTAAATATATTTTTATTGATTTTTTACAGAGAAGAAGGGAGAGGGATAGAGTTAGAAACATAGATGAGAGAGAAGCATTGATCAGCTGCCTCCTACACACCTCCTACTGGGGATGTGCCCACAACCAAGGTACATGCCCTTGACCAGAATCGAACCTGGGACCCTTCAGTCCATAGGCCGATGCTCCATCCACTGAACCAAACCGGTTAGGGCTGTGTGTGTGTGTGTGTGTGTGTTTTAATTGATTTCAGAGAGGAAGGGAGAGGGGGAGATAGAAACCTCAATGAAAGAGAATCATTCATTGGCTGCCTCCTGTATGCCTCACACTGGGGATGGAGCCCACAACCCAGGCATGTACCCTG